AGTGTGTGAGTGAGTGAGTGAGTGTGTGAGTGAGTGAGTGAGTGAGTGAGTGAGTGAGTGAGTGAGTGAGTGTGAGCGTGTGTGAGAGTGTGTGTGTGAGAGAGTGAGTGAGTGAGTGAGTGAGTGAGTGTGAGTGTGTGTGTGTGTATGTGTAGCAGCTGAACACATCACACACATCCGTGAACACACAAACATCACAGACACAGCCAGTGAGCGCACACTTGACATGAATACACAGGCACTGATGGGAGTCTAGACTCGTCACGTCACACTTCACGTGTCCTGAGCTGACCTCCGCTGATGGTGATGTGAGACTGTGATGGTCAGAGCTGTGGACTTCAGCTGGACCGCTGCTCTGACCAATCAGAAGCGGTGCAGAAGTGACTCCAGAGGAAGCTGCGGTCCTCAAATCTGTCAGACTGACTGAACTCTTGTATAAAAGCAGCGTGACACTCACAATCACAAACATCAGTCATGTGATCACAGTTACCGTGATTCAGCATATTATAATGAGCTCTTCACTACAGTGAAGCCCATAAGAGCTAGACATAACTTCATTCAGCCTAAACCAACCATGCTTTCACTGGAGTAAACGTGTAGGAACCATGTTTTTCTGGTGGATTGATTACCATGTGTATAAGCAGTTTTACTACAAACACCACGGTTAAACTGTGCATAGTGTAGTAAACCCATGGTTAATTTGTGGTTCCCGTGGTTTAACAATAGTAACCTGTGATTACCATGGTTTAACTAGAGTAACCTTTTTTGCAGTAAACCCATGGTTAATTAATGGTTACTGTGGTTTAACGCTAGTATTGAGTGTTTATTTGCAGTAAAAGCAGGGTGAATGTCTGGTCAGATCGATCGGGTTGTACTCACATCTCAGTCATGATGTCGTTTAAATGAATCCCGTCCACTAAAGTCATGAAGTCGGACAGAGGAGAGCCCCCGGAGCCCAGCGGAGAGACCGTGTTCACCTGCACACACACACACACACACACACACACACACACACACACACACAGATGAGGCTCAGCACACCATCGCGACGCGACGCGGCGCGGCGCGGCAGAGCCGCTCTTCACCCACCCAGCACACCAGAGGAGAGCGCAGAAAATCCTCCAGCAGAGGCGTGAAAGCGTCGCGCTGCATCGTGTCCATCGCGTGGGAATGAAGCGGCAGTGTCTGGAGCAGGATTGTGTCTATAACGCGCTCCTCATCCTGTCGCTCGCGTTACTTTCCTCCGCGACCCGCAGCCGTGAGCCGTGAGCAGATCCTCGCGCTTATTCTCCGCCGGACGAGCGCGGCGCGATCGGTGCCTTCATCCCGAATGAGACGCCGCTGTTTCCGTTAGATTCAGCGTGACGTGTCGAGCTTCTAGCGGCAGGAGCGCGTGCGTGCGTGTCGAACAAAGCGCCGCCTGTGAGCTCTACAGCAAGCGCACTAACGAGTGCACGGATTCAGCGCTCCGCCTCCGCCACACATCACGGGAACCAAGCGCACTGCACTACATAGACTGCACGGATACACATTTCTCGTTTCATCCATTCATTCGGAACATAACGGGCACAGCAGCATACATACTGCGCGTGTGCGCCATTGAGAACACACCCACTGCTGCTCCCTTAGCAGGCAACACCCGCACAGTCTGGAAACACTCACACAAACACTGACTCTGAGTGAGCAGCGCTGCGTTATAACGCGTCAGGCAGCAGGACGCGCGCAAACACGAGCAGTGCGCACGCGACGCGACACACACACACACACACACACACACACTCTGCCAGTAAATATGATAAAGCCAGAATGGACTGATGATGAGCAGATGCAGTGTGAAGCTCTCGAGGTCGTGTGATCTTCCTCACGTCTGTCTGAAATCACTGGTTTCTCCTGTGTTTTCTGATCGAGTGTGACACAGATCTGAATATTGTGTGTGTAAAGTGTGCTAGATAATCACACTTCAGTGCTTTATCATAGTTCCAGAGAAACAGCTGCAAAACATGAAATGGAAGATAACACTTTATAATAACTTTAATAAATAACAAACATTATACAATGCTTGATACGGGTTGGTTAGGGTCAGGTTTGGTGGTGTGGGTAGGTTAAGGGTTGGTTAGGGTCAGGTTTGGTGATGTGGGTAGGTTAAGGGTTGGTTAGGGTCAGGTTTGGTGATGTGGGTAGGTTAAGGGTTGGTTAGGGTCAGGTTTGGTGATGTGGGTAGGTTAAGGGTTGGTTAGGGTCAGGTTTGGTGATGTGGGTAGGTTAAGGGTTGGTTAGGGTCAGGTTTGGTGGTGTGGGTAGGTTAAGGGTTGGTTAGGGTCAGGTTTGGTGATGTGGGTAGGTTAAGGGTTGGTTAGGGTCAGGTTTGGTGATGTGGGTAGGTTAAGGGTTGGTTAGGGTCAGGTTTGGTGATGTGGGCAGGTTAAGGGTTGGTTAAAGGGTCAACAGGGGTCAGTTTGATTATTATACAGGAACACGGTTCAATCTGTTTATATTATATTGTTTTGATAAATGAACAAGCATTTTCTTGAAGAACTGATTTGTTTTCTCCTGTTGATGTGTGATTAAAGGAATATTCTGTTTAATGATATACAGTCGTATACTAATATAAGTGTTGAGGCTAGCATTTAGCTAAACTTAACTAACCACTCTTTACACAAGCGTCGTTACAGCAGCTAAAAGTCCAGCGCCCATAAACATACTAAAAGATTAGTAAATGTTTACAAATGATGAATAGTCTCCACTTTAGATTAAGTACTGCAGAAACATGAACAAATGATTAATAAATGATTTGTTAAGATGTGAAAACAGTAGAAGTCTACACAACAAACAGACCAAATATATGGCCTTTATAGACTGTGATTATGAGTTAATGAATAATATATGATAACGAATTGTTTAGTGAATAGTTAAGTGCTTAAAATGACTAATTAAGCTAATTTTTTACATTTGTAAAGGTAAAAAAGAGCATTAGGTAATACGTGAATGAACGGAGGTTTAGTGACATTTGTTAGCATTTAAAAGTACATTCATAAATAATCTTTTAATCATTGTATAATTTCTGCTAAAATCATTTGTAGATTTTTAAAAAGTGGATGATCATATGAACTGAAAGTTTAATTAATGATCTGCTAATCATTATATAAAGTTTGTTAATGAAAGTTATTATAAAGTGTTTCCATGCTCGTCATCCTTTGTGCCTAAACATGTGAAATGTGTCGTTACTGTTGGAGAGAGCCCATGTTTCTCATGGGAAGAATGTCTCTGTCTGTACAGTAGAGTAATGATCTGGAACACACGGGGGTTATGAAGAATAATGAGGTGATCAGGAGCTGTGTTCAGACCCAGAGAGAGCACAGCAGACGGCCTCTGTTCAGCTGGAAACCGCTCGAGTGCCTGGGAGTTACAGCCCAGAGCTTCCACAAGCTGCAGCTGATTTCTTCAAGCAGACCGGTCTGTGAGACAGTTTGAGGAGTCTTGGAGGCAGTCCTGCCACAGCTGAAGGAGATGGAGGGACATTCAGAGCCAAAGGGCATCAGGGAGTCCAGAAACAAGAAAAAGTCTTGTAAAAACTATTATCCTTACTTGAGTATAACAGAAATCTGCAATACACAACTGGAATAATTTGCAATATTTAAGGCTGGCATACACTACTCAACTTTTAAAATTTGAAGACTTTCCTCATACACTTACAGACTTTGTATTAGTCACAAAGGAAAAACTGTCCATCATGCACACGATGACTGAGGATCACACACCACTCACAATTTGAAACAAATAACACGCTTCTTACAGAGGATTTGAGCAGCCTCTTCAGCTGCAGGAGGAGGTTACGGTTAGGGGTTTGGTGGTCACTTCTCTATCAAAGCTTAGGCTCTGTTGGTGTGGGCTATGGTGCTTGATTTTGGGTTCGGGTTGTTTATTTTGATTTTGTTATTAGTTGTGACTCTTGTTCTGCCTGATACTTTAACATCATGTGTCCGAGAAACTGTTGTTTCTTGGTTTTATATATTTTGTCCTTCCTATGTTAATAAACGTTTTTGTTGTAACCTTAGGAACCCTCCTACAGTGTGTCCTCCTTTCATTTGTCATGGCTTTGAGCAACAAAACTCACTCGGAAACGTGCTCCTTGTTGCTAGGTTTTCTCAATTCGGCTCAAAATGTCAAACATGTTTGATCTCCTTCAACAGAGTATGTGCAGAGCTCTGGCTTACCTGGATGCAGTCCTTCACTGATTTACACTCATCACAGCTTACACAGCAGGTTTACTTTATAGTGAATAAATAGGATATCTTATTTTAAAAAATACAGTCCGGAAAAACTAGTTTAATAAGGTTTTAATTAAGAAATAATAATTAAGCAATTTTAATTGTGTGTAAAGTGTTAATTAATTAGTTAACAGATTAGCTAATATAACAGTGAGCGATACATTTGTTACAGTATTTATCCATCTCTGTTAATGTAGTCACCCTCCTGTTTGTTTTTGCCATTGACTGAATAATGAAGAGGACCTGGACTTTACTGACAACCCTGCACTTCTCTCCCACAACAAACAGCAGACGCAGAAGAACACTGATGTAGTGACAACTATTTCATCTCAGATTGGCCTCAATGTGAACAGACAAGACCAAGATCCTCAAGATGAAATGCACAAGGGTCCAGTCATGCCAACAGAAGCCCCTCGGTCTCGAGACTCTCTGTCTGCATGCTCAGGCTTGGATACGGTCACCTTTTTATTTGTCCAGTACTGTGGAGCGGAGGGGCTGCTGCTTTAGCATCGCTCGTGCTTGCTGTTTAACTGTCCAGTACACATGAAACGACTTCGCTTGGATTCTGTCACGGTAACTAGCATGTATTAACCACAATCAAATGTCTGTACGATATTACTCTGTATATTTGGAAAATGGGTGCACTCGATAACTTCCATTGGTTTCGGACACCACTACAAATAGTGCCCTATTTAAGGGTATAGGACCTGATTAAATGTGCAGTGTTGGGGGCCGCCGGTCCAGACCTCCAGAGTACACTTCTCACGTTCTGGACTCATTACTGATCACAGTCATCACACTCCAGCGTCAACTGTCCTTCTGTTAGTACACACATTTAATAAAGCCTCATTCAAACATCACAAAATACTGAACAACCGTGATTAACTGCAGGACCAAATTTAATCTGAAAATTGTAAAAATATCAAATTGATACAAATGCTCTTTAACGGAGATGGTGCTAGTAGGAAAGTGTAGAAAAACGAGGGGAAAAACAAAAACAGCTTTTAATATTTAATCTGAGCATCTGGCGGTCGAGTGCGATCAGCTTGTGTTCTGTGAGACAGAAGAGCCCAAAGCTCGGAGATCGGAGAAGCGTTACACCGCTGCAGTGCACATGCTTCATCTCCGCCGAGGAGACACGGCACACAAACCTAAACATTTCACTGCAATTTCATGTGTTTTAAAATCTTCTAGCCTGAAATACAGACGTCTGAGAATAAAGGTTAATACGGTCTCACTGGAGAAACACAGGCGTCCAGAGGAAACCAGTAAGAAAAGAAGCAGCCACTGTACAGCTCTCATACACATCTGCCCACAGCGCTGAGCTTCACCATCACAGCAGCACTCGAGTCCCAGAGTCTGAGCCAGTCCAGCTTCACTAGCGCGGCTAGTCCTGCTAGCGTGTGCGGCTCACTGGAGAGCAGACCGCTGAGCTCCTCAGGTTCAGGTGGGGGGAGCACAGCGCTACAGCGGGCTTTATGAGCCCAGACGAGGCCTCTTGTGTGGCGCCTGCTCCTCGTCATCGCTCTCCTCCTCGTCTTCATCATCAGAGTAGTCCACGAGCCCCAGCGGTCCGGTCTGAGGAGCACAGGCAGCTTTAGAAGAGAGCACAAGCTGCTCAGACGCTGCGAGTCGATGGGAACAAGCGTGACGTACCCGGGCCGTCTGGCCTGAAGGTGGCGCTGCAGGTGTGGAGCCGCTGGAGGAAGCGGAGGGGGGAACTCCTGCAGAATGAGAGAACATGAACTTAAAGCTGCCCGTCGTCGTCTGCTTGGGCTGGCTCTCCTTGTCCTGACCTTCTTTAACTGAAAGGAGAAAACAGACACGTGACAGGAAGAGCCCCGCGGGGAATACTAGGAACTTCCAGCTGTCTGCAGGTCTAATGATGCTCAATTCACACTTTTGAAAGACATCATTTCATTTTTGAAAAGATCATTTAATAAGAAAATGTCTTATTAGCAACACTTCAAAGTTTGGAAAAACAACTTACCTTTTAATTCCTTTTACAATTAAATAAAAAGCTCAAGGCTTGAATATCTCTGCTTGAAACACCAGTATATGGAGATAACTTTTGCTCACACTGCAAAAAAGTGATGTTATTCCTCGCTTTCTGCAAACCTCGACAGATTCTTAAAGCAAGATACATTTACTTGAGAAGCTAAATGACAAAATAAGAATTATAAAGCGGATAGTTCCGGTGCTTGATTCTGATTGGCTGAGCCGCGTTCGAAGCTTTTGTAAATGACTCTACAAAGTAACACACCTTTGTTTACGTTTGTGTATTGCTCGGCAACCACTTTGTAGCAACCACAACTGTTTCTGAGGAGCTACATTGTTTGGTGGAAGAATACTGTTTTTATTAATATCATTACACTTTATTTGCTCTGTTTTATTCTGTGAAACCTTACTACGTATATGGAATAACCGTTTTATAAAAGCAATAAGCCCCGTGAAGCCGTGGTTTACAGTGAGTTTATAACAGCTAAGTGGGTTTTAGGCACTCCGCTTCACCCCTTAGCGGTTATAAATCCACTGTAAACCACAGCTTCACAGGGATTATTGCTTTAGTCTTTTTTAATGAGAAACTGATCAAAGTGAAGTTTGCAGAAAAATCAACTTAACTGACTGGAGAAAAGTTTTCATTCCCCATTGGCAGATATTAGTTCTTGTTTCAGGAGCATGAACTCAATTTTGTTCAATTTCTCAGAGAACAAAACTTATGTTCATATTGCATCTCAAGTAAATGTTTCTTGATTTAAGGATGTTTAGGTATCTGTATTGGAAAACAAGACAAAAATACCGAGGAAGACTTTCATATTTTTGCAGTGCATGTAACATCTCATGAGTTTTCTTGATTTGTGGACGGCTGAATTAAGACTTCAGGAGCTGCAGGAACTCTGCTAGATCCAGTACCTTTCTCGCTCTCCATGAACTTCCCGTAGTCGCTCTTGCACTTGTCCAAGCCTGTGTCAGCGGTCTCCTCATCTTCATTCAGCCACATGTCCTCGTCCTCCTCGAAGGAGCGGGCGTCCCTGCGGCATCTGTGAGAGGTTCACATCCCTGTTAGCAGCAGTCAGTCTGAATGAATGAATGAAGGAAGGCTGAGGTGTGGGCACCTGCTGAGTCCTCGGCTCTGACGCTGCTTCTCCTGCTCATAGCGGCCCTTCAGGCCCTTGAAGGTCTGCACGTACTCGATGGACTCCAGCGCCGTGTAGAAGTTGTCCACGATGTGCTCAATGAGAGATCTGCTGTCCTCCTGATGAGGGAAGGGCAGCGGTCAGACTCGAGCGGATCAGACTGTGTTCTGCAGAGGCTGCACTCACCACTCTGATGAACTCGAAGAGCTCGATGATGGCCGAGTTCAGCAGGTTGTATCTGGTGCCGTTGTCCAGCAGCGCGCTGATGACCGGCTCAAACAGGTTTCCTTTCACGATGTAGTGGTTGTAATACTCATCCTTCAGTCCGATGATTCTCCTCATGAAGCGCAGCGCACCTGCACAGTGTGTGTGAGTTAGTGTATAAATTAATACAAAATTTTTTTTTTTTTTTTATGTAAAATGCATAAAGTTTTCTGTAAGGGTTAGTGGATAGAATAGTTTGTACAGTATATAAATCATTGTGTCTATGTAAAGTGCATATAAAACATGAAAACCCAATATATGTGTCTGTGTGTGTGCCCTCTCCACATTTACATACAAATATTCATGCTTGAACTAGATTATGAAGTTCTTCAATTTTCATGAACACGCTGTGATTTTAATACTCATATAATGCTTGGATTACGGTGTGACTATTACCCATGTGCCTGGCTTAACTAGCCCGAGCAAGAGATGAGAGTGTGTTAGCAGCAGCTGTGTGTGTATGAGAGGAGGAGACATGAGCGGAGCGAGGATGAGCTCAGAAACCCCCAGCAGACTGCTCTCTACAGTGTGTTCAGATCACACGGGTGCAGCACTGCTGTGACCGCACAAGGCCCATGAGCCGCTGTCTGATCGAGTGATTTAACACAAGGCCAGTCATCACTGAGGATACTCACAGAGCGCCAGGAAGCTGTGTCTGGAGTTCATGAGCGTCAGCACCCTCCTCAGCAGGTCTCTGGTCATGATGTAGCTCTTGATGTGGTACGTGTGATGCTCCACGCAGAAGGTCAGCAGCTCCAGGATCAGAGCCAGCAGCTGCGCCGTCTGGAGGTTATCTGAGGCACAGCACACAGACAGGCTCAGCTCAAGCACGTGTGTGAGAGTGTGTGTGTGTGAGAGGAGTGTGAGACGGTACCTGGACACACGGGGTTGGGTTTAGCCGCTCCCTCCGTCAGATCTGTGGACAGACAGACATGTGTTGATATGTGTGCACACTGCAGCAGCGGAGCAGGCGTGTGTCTCACCTGGGTCCTCCTCGCCGGTGTTAGCCAGCAGTGGAGCCGTCAGCACGTGCATACAGTACTTGTAGAAGAAGCTCAGGAACTCACTCTTCTCCGCTTTCTGTCCAAACACACACAGAGGAACGAGTGTCTGCAGAGGGCCACTCTCTGGAGAGAAACAGCAGCTGTCAGGCTGTACTCACGCTGGCTGGAGCGAGCATGTTCTCGGGGTCCATGAGGGTCCTCAGGAGCCCCATGAGCTGCACTGCACCGCCCAGCTCCGGGTCCGAATCACAGATCATCTGCTTGATCACCACGTTAATCAGCAGCACGTCCTGAACACAAACACACCTGCTTCATGATGCACTGTGATCTCTGCTCAATACAGCTTCACTAAACATTACTGTAAGCCTCCGCTCTCACATTCAAACAATAGCTCTTCTGGTGCTCTTTAGTGTGTCGTTGTGACAGATATAGGGCTGTGCAATTAATCGAAAAACAGTGTCGATTTCGACCTCCAACAATTACGAAAAGACAATAATCGAGATGAAACTATTATTACGCCACTTTTCCAGCGCTGCGCTTTCGTTCCTCCATAAATGCCCAATTTCACGTGCAAATCAGTAAAATCATGCAACGTGACCTTTGCAAAACGGGCCGTGCTTGATTTATCCAAGTATATTTATTCATGTTTTTAAAAGCGTGAAAGAGAACTTGCGCCGCTCCTCAGGAAGATATATGCGCTCAGAGATGGAGCAGAACACGGACATGTAAAGTCATCTTTTAGCACCTAAACGGTCAAATACACGCAAAAATGTGTCAAAATGCGGCGCTTAGTGATTATTCATGTATACCTTCGTCGGTCATGTAATTAATGAACGTAAAGAGTTGAGAATGAAAATACGCGTGTAACAGTGAATTGGATCCGTGCGGCTCTTAAAGTGACAGCGGGCTATTTTCCTGCTGCGACTGTGTGCTTAATATTAATCAAACAACAAAAGACAAATTCAAAATCACACACTGCTCTTGAATGAAGGACTTTTGTAGCTTTAATAAGAAACAACGAAAGTTTCATTCTTGCAGTGAAGACTATGCTGTTTTATTTTACATTTGATTATTCATTTCTGTAGTAGGCTGTTTGAAACTTGCATAAAAAACATTAAAGCACAGTTTGTTTCATTTGTATCTTTTTATTCTATTGTATTTGTCCTTTGCTTTTTTATTACTGACAGTTTAATTATTTCCAATAATTTTGAGGACTTTTTGTTTGTTTGAAATTCCGCCGGTCTCTACAATGTAGATGTCATAGCCACCTTATTTACAGGAAATATATATTTGATATGTATCACTATCTTTAAATAAATCACTCATATAAAGTTTTGGTCATATGGCCCCCTCATAATGGTGTTAAATAATCGTGATTACAATATTGGCCAAAATAATCGTGATTATGATTTTTGCCATAATCGAGCAGCCCT